GTTTGGTATCTTGAACAAAGATGGCATGCAGACTGTAGCAGACAGGATTTAAACCACCAGCCTTGCAATTGGTAGATGACATGCTCTACCACCGGAGCTACAGCCGCCTGTAGTGTTTATGTTGAAGACACTGATGTGATAAGAGCACAAGGTTCCCTTTTTGTTCATATACCTGAAAAAAAAGATGCTACAAAACCAAAATTTATTCATCCATCCATGAAGCCAGATAACAAACACCAATTACTTAAACTGCAATTAGTTTAACTCTAATTTTCTGCTTCTAAATTGTTCTTGTCAGAACAGTTACTTCATCATAAGTGAATGATGAAATTGTTTTAGTGGTGAATTCAAAGGAAAGCTAAAAATGAAGTAGCTTATCAGCAGGAAATGCATTACAAATGCTATAATGGAATGCAGTATGTTGGAATTTAGTATACTTGTATCTTTAATACAAATATACTTTATTATATCTCACATCACATACTTATTGTATACATTATTCCACACAGTTAAGTATTGTAGAATAGTTTGTCTTTCTCTCTCTCTTTATGCAGGTCTGACAGGAGGTCGTTGCCATGGTGATGGCTGAAGTGGGTCTCCACATAAGGAGATGCCCAGGAACCTGCAGAAGAAATGTGAGGCAAAGTGTTGGATTCCAGCCAAATAAGGACAACTGCGGCTTTCCTCCAACTATTTATCGCACATTATAAAAGCTTTGTGGGTGTGGTGCTCTTTGTTTGTTTAGGTCTCCTAAGCGAAGCAGAGGTACACGGCAGCATCCTCTGATTGCTTGAATAAAGAAAAGATAAAGTCGTAGTTTGAGTTTGGAATGTCTTCTCTTATAAAAGAACCCAACAAGTACAAGTAAATGTTTTATTTTCTGGCACTCAAAGAGCAGCCTGAAACACTGATACAAGGCCACGTCACGCTTTGCCTCTCCAAAAGCTGAAATGGACATACATGCAGAAGTTTTAGTAACTTGCAAACATCTACAACAACAGTAGAGGGAGATATTTTATTGAAATTCAACATGAAAATAATCACAGGAAAGCGTTTTAAAGAGATATTTACACATTTATATGTATATACATATTAGCAACCTAGTTTAATTGTTTCTGATTACTAAGGACCTTGAAATGTACTTTATACGTTTTTTGTGGTCACTACCGACTTAAATAAATCTCCCCCTGCTGGTAATGCAACTCCTGCATGCATATTCCTTTCAGTTTGGAGAGGCAAAGCATAAAATGCAAAGAGTGGGCCAGAGTGTCTATTATATGTTTTGCCATGATATCGGGTTGAACTGGTGGTTATTTGCAATACCTTACTGTTGCCTTTCTATCAGCTTAAAGCAGTCTTGGCCATTCTCCTCTCACCTCTGACATGAACAAGGCTGTTTCACCCAGACAACAGCTGCTAACAGGATGTTTTACCTTTTTAAGAAGGTCTGTGCACCCCACAAATGGTTGTATTGGGAAATGTCAATAGATCCGCAGTTTCTAAAATAAACAGACCAGAGTTCAGAGTTCTTTGAATCACCTTTCTTCCCCATTCTGATGCTCAGTTTGAACTTCAGCAGGACATCTTGTCTGTGTCTAAATGCACTGATTGGCTGATTAGATACAGTTAAACATCTACTGTTTAAACTGGCTGGTAAGTGTATGTTACACTCCAACAGAAGTTGTGTACTCCATTAAATGACAAAAAAGTTATTTGAGAAAAAGAAAACAGTGCAGAATGTGTCATCGTATTATCTTGCTCATCAAATGACACAATGACTTTAAAGCACTATTCTTAAGAGTGAGATAATTATTGTACATCTGTTGTGGTAACTGCTTGTTTAAAAAAAAAAGACTTGCCCATTGGAGACACTAAAGACAGTAAAAGATGTGAAATCAACCTTCCGACTGCAGCTCTCAGGGGACTGTCCATTTAAGCACATGAAAGGGGCTCTTCCAATGGACAGGAAAGAACTGGTTTGTCAAGCTGCAGGATCGAGTGTCTCCTCTGGAGGGGCGTATCACTGTCTCGCTCTAAAATTCATACAGGTCGGAAATCTTAAAAACATTTCAAGTAATCCAAACCTGCCCTCACTGAGCAGGAAGGCTTCCAATGCCACGTTATTCCCTCTTGAAAATAAGCAAATTTTATCTTAAGTTCAACCATCTCAGCACTAAGTGCTAATTAGCCATCTGACTAGCTGTGCTTTCATGTTTCATTTAGTTTCAGTCCTCCAGCTAACTCGCTCTTTTAGCAGTCAAAAAGCATGAATCAAAAAAGACCCCATCACACATTTACACTTTATAGCCAGCTAATGAGGAACATCTCAGCACAACCAGTGTTGGTCAAGTTACTTGAAAAAAGTAATCAGTAACTAATTACTGATTACTTCCCCAAAAAAGTAATCCCGTTACTTTACTGATTACTTATTTTCAAAAGTAATTAATTACTTAGTTACTTGTTCTTTAAAAACACGATTTACAACCTGAAAGGTGATAAAGCGATAGATCTTTCAGCCCAATTCTACTTTTTCTACATAATCCATCATACAAAATGTAATCAAATGGAAAAGTCTCTTTTTAAAACTTGTTTTATTAGTTTTAATCTTTTAACTTTATGCATCAAGCAAAAATTTAATTATATGCAACATTCTCTGACTGATAAATTAGTCACATTCCAGCACATAAAATAAAATATTTTTTGTGTTTACACTCACTCTTTCAAATAGATGCAAGTAAAACACAGCAGAAAATAAATAAAGTCAAAGACTCAGCGGTCCTGTTGCTCTATTTTCACCTGTAAAGCAGGACTGCGGTAGGCGGAGGTTTACCCTGGTGCAGGTGTGCCGCGGTCAGTTGAAGAATCCGCGAGTTTCTCTGTGATTTCCCATTACGTCGTGCGCACTCGGTGCTTGCTTGGAAGTTTAGGGGGTTTTTTTCGCTGTAAAAAGAAGTTTTCTTCCCACGCACGATGGACGCTAATGTTTTTGTCACTTTTTATGGAATCAAACTCAAAGTAAGGTCAGTACTTCCACGCTTTAAACGCTGCACGCTCATACTCTCTCCCACAATCGATATTGATCCATTGTTGATCTGCACACAGCTGTTGTCACGAACGCGCACTCGCTTACGTCACTGTCATGAGACATTCTCGCAAAAAAATCACGGTTTTAGTAACGCAGTAACGCAGCGTTCCTAGGGAAAGTAACGGTAATCTAATTACCGTTTTTGCAATAGTAATCCCTTACTTTACTGTTACTTGAAAAAAGTAATCAGATTACAGTAACGCATTACTGCCCATCTCTGAACACAACACAACGTGTTCTCTACATTACATTAACACAGCTATGGTTGCTGCTTGCTTTGTCATCTGGTCCTCACATCTGTCCTGTCTTTCCACTGCTGCATCACTTCTGCATCTGATGTTTCATATCCCACTGTCCACTATGACCAAGCCAGATTTTTGCTTTGAGCTTTGGAGCATTTTTTTCCCAGTTTTCCTCCTGCCTGATTTTGGCCTTTCACAAAAACCTGAATTCTGCTCCCTTTTGCTTTGCTTGTTTGCCTAATTCGTTTTTTAGGAAAACTCTTTTAGATGACTAATAAGTCAAAATTATTTTCTCAAAATTTCAACTTATTAACTCAAAATTTTGAGGAAAAGTAACTTGAAATTTTGAGTTAGCGCTGCCAATCTACGTGAATGACGTCATTTCCTTGTTAACCGGAAGCTGAAGCCCTGAGCTACAAATGCTACAGCTAAGCTACCAGTATTAAATCCAGTCATGAATGCACAGATTGCTGAGTATTTTCAGCGTGACTTCAAAAATGATGAAATCCTTGTGTTATTAGCTGAATCCGATGGCGTTATGAGGACGCTATGAGGTTATGAGGAAGTAGTAACTAGGGCTGTTCGATATAACGATATATATCGGATGACGATATAAAAACGTCTATCGTTTCATTTTACGCTATCATTTGTTTCGTGGTGTCGTAAAATAAACTGTTTACAGCAATATTTTTTCATCATTTTGATGGTCACTGTAGTGGATATAACCATTTCTTAAAGTTCTCTCTTTCTCTAAAGTTACTATCAGCAAACGTACTCGCGAAAGCGCCAATTTGTTGATCGGTTTTGAGTTATTAACTAGAAATTTTGAGAAAAGTAACTTGAAATTTTGAGTTATGTTTCTCCAAATGTCGAGTTAATAAGTCAAAATTTCAAAAAAAAAAAAACAAAACTCGAAATTTCAAGTTATGGATACTTATTGGCGGAAACGGGCTTCCATATGCATTACACATGAACATTTACTTCATGTTTCATTCGCTTTATGGAATCTTTCTTCAATTACATTTTATTAGCCCCTTCTCACAAGAACATTATATTTAGCATAATGCCTTTTAATACAGTTATATGGGATTACTTTCTTTTACTTTGTTTTTAAACGTCAATCTTTGTCAATCACAATGCATCCAGTATAACATTCTTTTATTTAATCACACATTTTTAAATTCAGAGATTCTTCTAGTTAGTAGCTGGCTCATGTGTGTCGCTCCCACTCACTCCACCTAAGTTACTACTTTACACCCTCACACACTAATGTTTTAAGTTGGAACCTCAAACAGCTAACAGGTCTTGTCAATTTACACCAAATGGTGGCTTTGGGAGACAGTGGTAACCAAATCTGACAAAGATATGAGAGCCAAATTGAAATGCCAGTTTGGATTAAATGCTACAGCATCTCATGCACTGCCTTGTATAAAAGGATTGGAAGCCTGCACTAAGCTGTCTAATTGAAAAATTGAATTGAAATTTGTTATTGACTTTTCCAGCTTTATCTGTACAGAACAATGTAATTTACCTTCTAACATCACAACCTCCATGTGAGATAATGTAAAATAATGAGTCTGAACATAACTGTTTCCCAACTAAAGGTTGCAACTAAAGGTAGCATGGAAATCAATCGATCACTTGCCATTTCTTTAAAGAATGGAAGACAAAAGTAGACAAATGATAAACTTTTAATTACAAATTCCTTACTACAGGCACAGAATAGATCTCAGATAAAGTTCAACTCCATTGTTAGTTGTAGGCTTTGCATATGAAAGCCACAAAAGACTATCTTAGTTAATATTACTTCTTGGTAGCATATTGCCACATACCACAATAACATTCACCAGTGGTTCAGCCAAATATGAAGAAGTAGTAACTAGGGCTGTTCAATATAACGATATATATCACATGACGATATAAAAACGTCTATCGTTTCCTATTACGCTATCGTTTGTTTCGTGGTGTCGTAAAATAAACTGTTTACAGCAATATTATTTCATCGTTTTGATGGTCACTGTAGTGGATATAACCATTTCTTAAAGTTCTCTCTTTCTCTTATATTTAATATAACCACACTACGGACGGACAAGACAAGCACCTGTTTTTATGTGTTGTCGTTAGCAACAATGACGGTAAAACCATCGCGTGGCTTGTTTGCTTTCCACACAAACCTTTCACAATAAAGCTCAACATCCTGTTGAGACTTTTCAAAATAAACTGAATCAGGGGAAAGAGTCTGTAGATTGTTTATGGATGAGAAGCAAAAAAGAGCCGTCAAGCGCTAAAAAAATAAACCTTAGACTCAAACTATGAAAGAAAATGGTGGCCGTTAAAACTTATGTCTAAAAATGTATAGTTTCATACATCGGTTAAAACACTCGACTCCAGCTGGAAACACTTCATGCAAGGTGAGTTGCCCGAGATTCACAGAATTTACAAAAAATGTTAAATTTTTGTGATTTATATCGTTATCAGGACGATAAATGTCTTATATCGGAATATGAGATTTTGGTCATATCGCACAGCCCTACTAGTAACCACAACAGATCATTGCTCATTCTGGGAAATAAAGCAGCAGCAAACCTGTGGTTCATAAAATCTCCAGATGTTTTACCAGCTTAAACTGAGATTTGACATTAAAGCAGATACCAAACATAATTTTTAACAAGTGAACAGATTTCTTTTAAAGTTACAATGCTTTTTAAATTTTCAAGCATTGTAGTTTAGTAGTATACACACTCTGAGGAATTAGCTAAGACTGGTTTAGTAAATGAACTTAATGCAATCAAATCAAAATTAAATGGAATAAAATGTTCTTAAATGCATATTAAACTTGATTGATCTAACAATAACTATTCAAAGCTCAAAAACACTGCAGTAGAATCATGGCGACTTTATCTCAACCTTGTTATGTTGTAGATAACAAGAAAAATGCAAGTGCTGCTGAGAATTATTAGAAATAAACTGCTTGGAAAAACTAAATTAAAAACCAATTAGCCAAAACATTTAAAAACTAGACTGCTAGTATTCTGAACCTTTTCTGATGGCTCGAATAATGGTCCATTTTAGTTAACAGTTATCACACAGGTGCATCTTTTGAAATTTAAGGCATCACATCTTAGATGAGGCGGTGATGGCTGAGGCTCCAGGACGGCTGTAAACGTGCAAAGTGGCATCCTGAAAAGGGACAGAGTAAAAAAACAAAACACAAATGAGATCAGATACAAAAAACAACAACAACAGGAGAAGGACACAACACATAACAAGAATGCTCAGTAACCAGTGTATCTAAGAGCAGACTACAGCAACCTCCCTGAACAGGGTCCAGTATTCATTACGGTGGTAGACATCCAAGAAAGAGACTCCAGTATGAAAAGTTGGACAGCACCAAGCCCTGACACGATTCATGCCTACTGGCTAAAGAAGCCGACTAAATGAGTGTCTAGCAGCACAAATGAACCAGCTACTAGTCAACGAGAGAGACCCAGAATAGCTAACGAAGGCTGGACAGTGATGATCCCCAAGGACCTCCAGAAGGTAACAGTCCCATACAACTACCAACTAATAACCAGGCTCAGTACCACATGGAAGCTCCTGTCCAGCTAACATGAAAAGGCACATGGGTTAGAGCGTCAAGCAAGTCATGAGGAGTCAGCTGAACGTTAAGAACAACACCTATGCCCTGTCCGTGATCAGGTACCCTGCTGGGATAATAAGAGTTAAAGCACTTTATTGTCATTGTAGTTATACAACGAAATTTGTTTGGTGGCTCACAGAGGCCAGCAGCAATAAAACAAGATGAAGAATAGTAACATAATAACCAAGTAAACGTAGTAAAAGTATAAAATATAAAGTAAAAAGAAGACACTTAGCACAGTAAGTAAAAAAGAAAAAAAAGATACTAGTAGTTGGCCAAAGGAGGAGATAGAAGCCACTGACATCAAGACCAGGAAGCTCCTGACCATGCATGGAGGGTTTCACCCCAAGTCCAGCACCCTGATACTGTATGCTAAGTGGAGGAAGCCGGGGATTAGTGAGTGCCATCACCATAGTTCAGGATGAACACGAGAAGCTCGAGAAATACCAAGGGCTCAGAGAAGAGCTCGAGAAAATGTGAAGGGTGAAGATAGCAGTGGTCCCAGTGGAAATTGGAGCACATATATACAAACATATACATACATACATACCTTCTTGGCCTCTGCATTGTACTTCTTGAGAAGAGTCTCAACTCTGTTTCCATAGTCTGGATGCACAGCCTTCAAATTCTCGACCTGCAAGACACAGAAGAAAAACATTACAGTCCTGGAGGACAGCAGGTTCTTTAAAAAACACATTCTCTCCATCTCCTATAAGCCATGAAGAATAAACATTCAGTAAATGCTATTGTAGCGTTTTAGATTACATTTATCAATAAGCACAACATCTTTCCTGAAACCTCACATTCCAAAAAGCACAAACTATGAGCAACAGCAAAGTGAGAGACTGTAGTGCTTGGACTCACCATGCGTTTCTGGATGAAGAGCTGGGCTCCTTTTAGAAACCCTGCCAAGTTCTGGCAAAGTCTCTGTCGCTCCTCCTCATTCAGGACCTGAGTGTAGAAGGTGCGAACCTGCAAAAAACACACAGGTTTATTCTCCAGAGGAAAAAGGAACTAATCAGAAACAGATTTTGACTCAGAAGCATCAACTTGATTTCAAGTCTTTTAGAAAGAAGAAAAAAAAAAAATCCTATAATCCATCCTATTACACTTTCTGTTTATTACTAGTAAGAATTAGCTTTGACTATAGTTCCTTCCAAGATGAGGCCAAAGAAACCAGAGTGCAGTAACAGGAAGAAAAAGCCACTAAAACTAAATCTACATATTTCCATTACCCTTTAAAAAATGAGCAACAATTTCATCTTATCATTCGATCCACTTTTCATATTAAATACAGATTTATGCAGCTTTTTAATATTATCAAATCTGAAATTGCCTGGGCCTCAGACACTCTGTGTCACACGCCTACAGATCCTGTTAAATCATCATTACCTGTGTGACATTGTCTTCATCTGAGCTGTTGTAACGAGCAACATCTGCAGACACTTGGAACTTGGACTCCATAAACTGAGGCTGAGTCTCTGGGGCACTGAAGCTGTTAGGGTAGTAGTTTGGAGCGCCACCTGGTGGTCAAACAAAAACACTGGTGAGGCAGTGAAGGAAAGAAAGAAAAAAATGAACAAAGACCAGATGTTTGTGGAAAACCATAATCAGTGACTATAGTGATGACATACGTTATTCACACATCTACCACTGTACAATGCATGAAATGTAGCGATAAAATTAATGTTTTATTGCTAGTTTTTACATTTTGTGCACAATGTAGATGACTGTGGTTATGCATGTAATGCCCATGTTATAAAATTATTTCTAATTATTTTATATAATAAGGGTGTTTTTGGATCACTAAGATTTTTTAAAACACCATCACTGATCGTCTGCTTCAAAGGTGATTTGCACTTGTGTATATGTCACGTGTATAATAACAGTTAAAAATAACGGTTAAGAACTCAGTATAAATAAACTGTAACACTACCTGGATTAAAAGTCCAGGATTACTCAAGATTCATTTCTGAGCCACAGGTACCAGACCTGATCACGTCTCACCTTGGTTGTCATGCATGCACATCGGACCATCACGCTGGTAGTTGGCCACACGAGCCCTGAAGGGGCAGTTGACAGGGATCTGCAGGTAGTTTGCTCCCAGCCGGTGACGATGCGTGTCTGGGTAGGAGAAGAGGCGACCCTAGACAAAGAACATGGAGGACAGAGCTCAATACCAACCTAGCTTTTCTTCATTCCCCCCAGCTTGTCAAATCTGCCATAATGTCACCTGCAGCATCTTGTCAGGGCTGGGCTCGATGCCTGGTGGCATGTTGCTTGGGTCAAAGGCCGCCTGCTCCACCTCTGCAAAGTAGTTGACTGGGTTCCTGTTCAGAACCAGTTTGCCCACAGGGATCAGTGGGTATTCTTTATGTGACCAAACCTGCACCGCGAATAAAATTTACAAATCACAAAAGTCATCTGTGATTTTCAAATGAGCACGTCATTATTTAGAGACATCCTGTGATAATATGGACGTTTTTGGAAAACAAGTTACCAAGTCACTGCACATTTATGTCACGTATTACTTTATAACTCGGATGTTTTCTGTTGTGCAGAACTGCGGTACCTTTGTAAGATCAAACGGGTTGAACCGGAACTTTTCAGCCTGCTCAAAGGTCATGACCTGGATGTAAAAGGTCCAGGATGGGTAGTTTCCATTAGCAATAGCATTGAACAGGTCTGCAATTCCATAATCTGGGTTGGTGGCTGCCAGGCGGTCTGCCTCTTCCACCGTCAAATTCTTTATTCCTTGATCAGTCTAAAAAATTAATTTAAAAAAAATGAAGTCAGAGATGGCAGAACACACAACATAACAGCTAATAAAGCTGACCTCAGGCAGACCTTATAGTGGAATTTGCAGTAGACACGTTCACCATCGGCATTGACCAGTTTGAAGGTGTGAGAGCCGTAGCCATTCATGTGACGGTGGCCATCAGGCAAACCTCGATCGCTGAACAAGAAAGACACCTGCACAGGAGACAAGACGAGACCATGAAAACAACTACAAGAGTTTCTGTCAATGATGACTACAAGTATAAAGACAGCGAGCAACAGTGCACAGAAAGACTTACTTACTTGAAAATATTCTTTATCCTAAATGTGTATTTTAGAAACACCTCAGCTGACAGGACATAATACACTAGACTTTTCAGTATCAGGCTCAGCAGCATCTACCTGATGCAGACTCTCGGGCCTCAAACTCCAGAAGTCCCACACCATGTCAGGGTCTTTCATGTGGGTTTGGGGATTGCGCTTCTGGGAATGGATGAAGGATGGGAACTGCACGAGATTAAAGATGGGACATTAATATGAGACAATGTACACTTGACTGATATTAGCACAAGTGTTGTGAGGAATGTGTCTCTGGTCTTAAATATCTTACATTAGGAATAACAAGCTTGGCTTTTATAAACTTTGAGTTAAACTAAGAGTGTAAACACCCCATGTTAGATATTTAATGTAAAAACAAAGAAAACAAGATACAAAACTGAAAAATCATCCACTTATGAAACTAGATCTACAATCTGTTCCTGGAAGAATTATTTACATGTTAAAAATAAATAAATTAAAAAAATAAAGTACTGCTGTAACACTACAACTCTCTGACACAAAATTATAAAAATCTGAACCATTACGGTCTGCCCAGACACATGCGTCCTACACCCACTCACCAGCATGGCATCCCTGATGAAGAAAATTGGGGTATTGTTGCCCGTCAGGTCCCAGTTGCCATCTTCAGTGTAAAACTTGACTGCAAAACCTCGAGGGTCACGCACAGTGTCTGCAGACCCAGCCTCTCCAGCTGGGATATTAAAAAACAAACAAACCATAAGACAGCAACTCCTCAAAAATCAATGACGTAATATCGTTGACTATTTTAAACTAAATTTGGAGCCAGTGTGTACCATCTGCACCTTACAGCCAGTAGCATTGTTGAAAGTTACCTTTAATGTCCCTTCTGGTGTCACACAAATCAAGATGTAAGTACACCACTTACCATCACATCGCCAGCTTCTTACAATGAACACTCCTTTAACAAATAACCACTTTTACTCACACTTTGCATTTAAAAGTTTGTTTTGCAACTCATACCAAAAACTTTTTCAGCAGTAAATCATTATCATCATCTTCTATTGTTGCATTTTTCTGAAACATTCAATATAATGTTTTAATTGTCCATATTATTTTCCTCTGAAAGCATTTCATAACTGTCTTCAGCAGACATGAACATGTTGTGAGAAGATTAAGGGCTCATATAATCCAGGAGTATATTTTTAAACATACCTGTTTCATATTTAAACTGTCCTGACAGTTTACATATAAGTATAGTCACAGTTCTGAGGCAAACTCCATCCCATGCACAATTCTGAATAATATATATTGTTTTTTTTAATTGAAATATAAAATATGCTGAAAGCAGATGCAGGACTGTGAAGAAGTGGTGTACATTTGTGATGTAGCAAATCCTCAGTGATCCCCAGGCCACAAAAACATGGAAATCAACACAATCTTTAGGCCACTATGTCAGAGCTCTGTGGATATGGAACATTTTTCCCCATTAAGAATCGCCTGAAAGCCACTGATGGTCCTTATTTACATCAATTTAAGCTGCTAGCTAAAACCCCAGCACTGTCCGAAGCTGAGCTGTCCCTCTCCTGCTACCTGCAAACATCAATGAGTCATACGAGTGTAAGGACCTAGAGTGCAGTCCAGTGGTGCTACTATAGATTTCAATAGCAAGTCCAAACTATCACATCAAAAACAGGGAAGAATAAACACCCCCCTTCCCGCTCCTTCACAACCACCCACACATGCAGGGCCTTGGAGTAGGGGTATGTCACACGCCAACTGAGGATTCATACCCCCCCCCACCCCCCTCCCCTCCACTAAGCAAATCTGTAACCAAGGCGAACAAGGCGTTCTTACCCACAGTGGAGAAGCGGACAGCAATTGGTGTAGTCTTGCCAACATGCTCAAACACTTTGGCTTTGCAGTAGCGAGTGATGTCATGAGTGACCTCAAAGTAGCCAAATGCCCCTGAATAATGGAGAAAAAAATAAAAATAAATACAGATTTTAAAAGACATGTATGCTAATATAAGCTTCACAAATTTCGAGTTCTTGTATTTACTTTATTTATCATGAGGACAAATATAAGACCCAAGTTGTTTGGGTCTTAGTTTGCTCGTAGGCCAACAAACAACTCGTTCAATGTCTGTCCAAAGTCTGAAGCCCTGATCTGTAAAGCCTGTAAAGATTAACAATTGTTCAGAGTTAATCCACAAATAAGCAGGATCCACATTTCCTTTTAGACCACTTTATTGGTTGTTTTGTTTAACTTTGTACTTTAATGCAGTCATTTGTAGCCATCTGCCTGCACCAGAATACAATTCTTGATTCTTGGCCACTGCTTTATCTCAGAAATAACTGCACCACATAGCTGCTGTTAATACCTTTTAAACACTGACAATCTTTGGTGTCAGGAGCTGAATACACAACTTAGTAACTCTGTATTTGTGGCATTCTAGTTCATGTTAAATGTCCAAATACTCAAAACTCGTGACCATAGATGCGGGTGACAACGCAGATCAACGGGTACGCACAGCTCTCTCTTCACCATGACGAATGGGTACAGGGTCTACTTTACTGCAGCCGCAGCACCAATCTGTCTGCTGAGCTCTTGCTCCCCTCTCCCATGAACAAGACCCCAAGATACTTAAACTCGTCCACTTGAGGCAGGTACAGGCCCTGACACGGGCACTCCACCGTTTTCCATATTTGAGTATTATTATCGGATCAAAATGAAGAAAAAATATATTGTGATTGTATATCTGGCCACAATCCTTAGTTCTAAGTGTGGGCATGAAACGTCTTGCTGTCTTACTGACCTCAAAGCAAAAAAATGTTGAGTGCATGATTGCAGCATAATGCCTTACCTGCCCCTTTGGCATGGACCACTCTCTCTGGGATTCGCTCACGGTCAAAGTGGGCCATCTCGTCTGTGAAGACAACATCTTGAACCAGCAGCGGCCCTCTTGGCCCTGCAGTCTGCAAGTTCAATTTGTCTCCCACTGGATGGCCACCGCCTGTGGTCAGCACATCTGGTTTCTAATAATAGACACATTAAAAACAAAACACACAAACAACACAACACACATACAAAAACAGAAAAAGCATTAAATATATACATCTTGAAGAAAGACTACAAGAACACTAATACATGACAACTGTCCTTTTCTGCTACTTTAACCTGATGATTCCAGTAAAGAAACAAAATCGGTGCAGCTGGTTAATTACTTAATTAATCAAACTAACAACACATGATGGCGATTTTGAATGAGGAGTTAAAAAATGCAAACTGTGTTACGCATAAAAAGTAACACGTGTATACAACGGTGCAGTTTGGCATCATAACAATTACAATGTGCTGTTCAGACGACATCTCTTTCACGGCTCGTTCGCGTGTTTGTTTTTTTAGTGCCCAAAATGTCTCAGATGTGTAGTCACCCACTCGATTTCTTTGAAGAACGTTGGCTAAAAACAATGAAATAGTAATGCTAGCAAGTAAGCCCTTTACAAAACAAAGTTATATGTCTGAATATAATCGTCTACTGAACGATAGATCTCTCGAAAAGCTAGCTTAAATCGCCCATTTCCAATTCATCACCGCGCAAAACCAAAAAAAAAATCGATCAAACCGAATGAATAGACCTGAGAGCCTCTATTCGCTTTCCATGTCTTCATTTGGTCGGTAGCTTTATCTCTGTTGTCAGCCATCTCGACAGCTCAGCGTTTAGACCACACACTATTCGGAATAAAACTCTTTATCCTGACTCCAGAAAAGAACATTTCTTCTTGGACCTTGCCTGCGATGGTCCCGCCCCTCTTACGCCCCTCTATACTGATTTGCTCACGGAGTAGCAAACAAAGTTGGTCAGGGGTATGTTTACTAGTGATGGGCAGATTCATCCAATTGGTTCACCCCAGCGCAAAGCGTCTTGAAGCTTCATTTGCTCTAGCAGGACATCTACTGGACGTAAAAATATTAATTGGCATGAATTTGAAGAGTGTGGCATTTTGCACACAGCCTGTAAATGTCAACAACAAAAGGAGTGTGTAAAACATGTATATTGTAGTGATGGCAGTATACTGTGTATATTTATACTGGCAGCATGGAAAATGATTATTTGGAAATGCTTAAAATGGAAATGATCATTTACTGTGAGGTGAGGTGTGGTTCAAATCAAATCAAATCAAATCAAATCAAATCACTTTTATTGTCACATCGCATGTGCAGGCACACTGGCACAGCACATGCGAGTGAAATTCTTGTGTGCGAGCCCACAAGCAAGAATTTCACTCGCATGTGCTGTGGTTGGGGTGTGGACAGTGATTGTGCTTTTGTAAAGTTGAGGTATGGACAGCTACAGTCCTGCCTGTTCACATTTTATTCTGTAAAAACTACATTTTCACTTCTTTTATGACTTTTTTAGTGGGGAGAACATAGAACATTTAATGATTTAACAAATCTTTTAAATCCTTTGTCCTCCACAATGCTAAATGGCTGGGAGCCCTCAATCACCATGCTAACCAGGTCATCTATTTGAGATTGTTCTCCTGAGGAAAGACAATAAAAACAAAGCACAAATATAAATATCACACGTAACGTATTACAGTTGTATAATATTGTTATATCATTTAGTAACATTACGGCATGCTATATTATCATGGCATTTGATGGCTCACCTGGTCTTGCTCCACAATCGGTGTTCCCCTTATTCTCATGCAAAGCTCTGTAGTGCCTAAGCATGGATGAGGTGTTGTTGTTATATCCCAGCTCCCTGGCACATAGCAAACACTTCACCTTGTACAAAAGTCAAGACAGCTCAACATAAATTGTATTGCACCATCAGTATTATGAAAATACATCTTCCGTAGAAATTTCCATACCTTGTTGGGAGGAATAAGATTAAAATGTTCCCACACAGGGGAGGACATCCTTCTCTTCTTAGCTGGCTCCATTCTCTCCTGACTTTCTCTCCTCACTCTCATAAACCTCCAAACTCTCTCCTAACTCTCACTAACAGCAACTCTCCATCAAACACCCACATTTCGAATGAAGTCTGAGGGGTTTATATCGCTTTCATAGCTCGCGGCAAAGTTCAAACCACTTCCTGAACCAGTCAGATGGTACAGCCGGGCAGCGAGGCTTCGGACGTCATCATTTTCAGCTCCTCCCATAAATGAAGCAACCCTCGTTACGCGCATCGCGGAAACGCCCTCTCAAATACTCGACACAAGCTTTGAAGCCTTGATACAGAACGTCACATCACTAATGTTTACCACCAACCACTGTAGAAATCATAAACGACATAACAGACCCCAAAATAAAGCCAAAACGTCTCTATCGCCCCCTGGTGTGTGGCTGCAGTACAGGTAATTAACCCTACCTCCTCCACCTAGCAGACGTAAGGGACTGGGCCAGACTAAAATAAATATTTTTTCCCCAAAGACGCTTTTTCCCCCTTATTTCTCATAATTTGATTCTTATAACTATCATAATAGAGTTAAATTACACGTCATCATAACAGCTTTGACAATTCAGCTGAAGTCAAGGAGAAATTGCGCATCTCTGTTCGGGAATGGCAAAGAGAGGCGGACGCTGAGAGGAGATGCAGCGTTTACGTTCCAAAACCAAACTGATTGTAAAGTGCCGACATAAGGACCCGATGCCCTGCCGCATTTGTGATGTGTGTTGATGATTCGATTCAATTCAATTCAATTCAATTCAATTCAATTTAATTCAATTTTATTTATATAGCGCCAAATCACAACAAAAGTCGCCTCAAGGCGCTTCATAGATACAGAGAAAAACCCAACAATCATATGACCCCCCTATCAGCAAGCACTTTGGCGACAGTGGGAAGGAAAAACTCCCTTTTAACAGGAAGAAACCTCTGGCAGAACCAGGCTCAGGGAGGGGCGGGGCCATCTGCTGCGACCGGTTGGGGTGAGAGAAGGAAGACAGGATAAAAGACATGCTGTGGAAGAGAGACAGAGGTTAATAACAGATATGATTCAATGCAGAGAGGTCTATTAACACATAGTGAGTGAGAAAGGTGACTGGAAAGGAAAAACTCAATGCATCATGGGATGCATCCCCCGGCAGCCTACGTCTATTGCAGCATAACTAAGGGAGGATTCAGGATCACCTGGTCCAGCCCTAACTATATGCTTTAGCAAAAAGGAAAGTTTTAAGCCTGATCTTAAAAGTAGAGATAGTGTCTGTCTCCCGAATCCAAACTGGAAGCTGGTTCCACAGAAGAGGGCTGAAGGCTCTCCCTCCCATTCTACTTTTAAATACTCTAGGAACAACAAGTAGGCCTGCAGAGCGAGAGCGAAGCGATCTAATAGGGTGATATGGTACTACAAGGTCATTAAGATAAGATGGGGCCTGATTATTTAAGACCTTGTATGTGAGTAGCAGGATTTTGAATTCAATTCTGGATTTAACAGGAAGCCAATGAAGGGAAGCCAAAACAGGAGAAATCTGCTCTCTGGAGAAATCTGCTCTCTCTCTGATGTGTGTTTGTAAGGTAATCCGTAAATAACGTCCTTAGGGGATAAATAAATTCTTTCTGATTAGCTAGTGTATCACTTAACTAGCTAGCTAAGTGAGACACAGTAGTGAGTTTCAACGCCTTTATTTTAGTTGCAAGGAGACAAAAGCATACACAATGAACATACATTTCCTCAGCTTACTGTAAAGAGTTGCGTAGCTTTAATTTCAGAACGTGTTGCATAACTTTAATAATTTTTCTATAAAATCCCTTGTGTTTATGCTACACTCTAATATAATATTTACAAATAAATAGTGTACTGTTTTTCTCCTAATATATCAGGCTTATGTCTCGCCTGTCTAGGTTTTCAACACAGTCATTATTGTATTTAACTTAAGTACTGTCCATAGAGTCATCATGGGCTGTAGGTCGTCTTGTTAGGTGTTCTCTTTCTGCTCTATTTAGCGATACAGATAGATGGTCCTGGACAGAGCAGTGTAAACATTTTTAGTGTAAGAAATTTTCTCATGCACGCAATGAAGCAGCATCCACAGACAGTCAGGAAGGCCACTGCAACATGATTAAAAGAAAAGACACACTACCACTCCATCTACCAAATCACTGTTCCATGAAAGGTTTGAATGGATCACTTGTCCCTGAGTGCTAGGCCAATTCGTCAGCAAGGGTGATGAGCTACTTTAATGCTTGAATCACAGTGCCATCAGATGCAGTGTTGTTAGGGATAAACATGAAAGAACTAGTCTCAAATATCAGTAGAAATCAGGGGCAGGAGCAGTGAAGTGCTTCTAAACAACTTCAGCATACATGCTAAACTGCTTACCTGATGTCAGTTGAAATGGTGATGTGGCCCGAGTTGGCATAGCAGGAGCCTACACCACACACCTAGAAACATTAGCTTGGGAGAGAGACCAAAACACACACACAGTTTATTTTTGTAACACGAGGGCTGCCACGATAAGTCAACTAGTCACGATTACGTCGAGATCGTCGACGACTAATTTAATAGTCCACGCGTCCTGAAAGACGCGGGAATAAGTACTAGGATTTAAGGGTGTAATAATGGACTGAAACAGAAGATGGCAGTAATGCATGTACAAGGATGCCAGCTGCTGTTAAACACCAAAGAATGGTAAATGGCCTGTATTTGTATAGCGCTTTACTTAGTCCCTAAGGACCCCAGAGTGCTTTACACTACATTCAGTCATTCACCCATTCTCACATAGATTCACACACTGGTGATGGCAAGCTACATTGTAGCCACAGCTGCCCTGGGGTGCACTGACTGAAGAAGAAGAAGCAGCAGCAGCAATCTCAGGTATCGTAGCTGTGTCCAAATTTAGGGGCCACATCCTTCAGAGGTCGCATTTGTAGACAGATTACGTTACAGCGACGCAACGCAGGCTGTCCAAATTCAAAGACTCCCACAAATGCGGCTGGACAAATGTGTCCTCCTTTTCCCTAGATGTGAAGGATGGGTTGGGTGTATCCAGATTCATAGCACGACCCAGCCAATTCCAGTTTACAACAATGGCGGCAGCTACTTAGTTTTAATATTATTCTTTCTGGGTCACAAAATAAACTTTTAAGATATTTTCAGGCGAGAATGTAACTGTGTAACCTTAAAATATCAGCTCGATTTATCAAGACATCCCATATTTGCAAAAGTGCCGTGACGTTTTTGGAGATGTCTGTTACCCACCAGCTTGAAACCTAGTCGGGGGTTCAAGGCTCACTAGAGCAGGTGAGAACAGCGAACTCCCGGCACATCGTTTTCAGACCCCCGCGGTCTTTCGCTACTCAGGTTAAACATGACATATAGGTCACTTAGATAACTTAAAAATGTTATTGTTTGGCTTTTTTCAGTATTTTATTTGTTTGTGAGTAAATCATTTTGGCTGAGAATAAAGTTATAGTTTCCACACAGCTGAATAAACGTCAAACAGAAAACTGATTAAACAAAAGTGTGAGATGGTAAAGAATTTACTCAAGTGTCCTGTTATTTTAGATAGCAAGGAGCAGACGGCTGAGTTTATTAAACTCCACCGGGACAATCTGCTAATTTCATTAAAAGTTTAATAAACTATCATCTTGTCTTTATTTTTAGTTAGCACATACCTTAAACACTAGCTGTAAGCTAATGATAGTTATATAAGAGCAGATGCATGCTAGTGCAATAAGCTGTACGTTTTACGTCCAATGGATGCATGATCTGATTAGTCGAACAATCACAAAAATAATCTGTCAGTAGTCGACTATCAAAATAACAATTTGTGGCAGCCCTTGTATCGTGTCTCCATCTTTTCAGCATTAGTTATGTTTAAGGTCATTACTTTTGTGACGTTTGTGCTATGTGTTCGAGTGTTAGCTTGGTGTGCAGATGGAGAGGCTGTGTCGGTGAATAGTATTTTAAATGAAAGAATGAAAATGGGTCATTGCCTGATGTCCAAATGCATCCCACCCTGTGTCCTTTATTTCAGAAATTTGCCACACTGCTATCAAACCTAATGTTATAGTCAGTAGCATCGCTACTCATTTCTTGATACCTTCTTTTTTCCTCCCTAATCAGGAGTCCCACTGTGGACAGCCTTCAATAGAAAACTTTGCCATCTTCGCCAACATTTTCAGAGTTTTCCATTAGGTCATGGTACCTGGGTACCAGGTCCGTACTATGCAGATTACAGATTTTTGATCCTTTTCAGTCTGCTTTTCAAAAGCAGCACTCCACTGAGACCTCTCTCTTAAGGTTCTATAAGGATCTGTTAATGGCCTCTGATGCAGGAAATTGTTCTGTGATCATTTTGCTTGATCTTAGCACAGCCTTCGATACCATCCAACCATTTGCTACCGCTTAGCCTTTTCAGGGTTGCAGAGAGCGCTGGGGGCCTATCCCAGCTGGCGAGAGAAGGGGTATACACACACACACACACACACACACACATATTCCAGCTGTCTTAGGGTGATAGGCAGGGTACACCCTGGACAGGTTGCCAGCCTGTCGCAGGGCTAACACATAGAGACAGACAACCATTCGCACTCACACCTGTTCACAATTCAGAGTTAACCTAACCCCATTAACTGCATGTCTTTGGACTATGGGAGGAAACCAGAGTACCCGGAGAGAACCCACGCAAACTCCAAACAGGAAGACCCCAGTCTGATGGTGGATTTGAACTCAGGGCCTTCTTGCTGTGAGGCAACAGTGCTAACCACCGTGACACCATGCTGCCCTATAAAAAAACCCAAAAATTATGTGTGAAAAATTATACGTTAAAACTATTGGTGCCTACCAGTCTTGCGCCTTAGAGTCCTAGTAGATGCACCTGTGGTATGAATTTAAAAATCCAGTTTTGATGGGTTCTCAAATCACCAAATTAGAATATTCTAGATTACATGTTTCTTGCATTCAGTCTAGGTATAGATTTTTTAGATGCACCAATTGGATCACTTTTTACCAATCAACTCATCACTGTAACCAGTAAAACAAATAGAAATTGTTTAACCTGTTCTCGGAAGTACTCAGAAAAACACAAGAACAGCAATGGCATCTCAATCTCCTGATGAAGAACAGGATACTAATACAATTCTAAACCCAAGATGAGCATATTAAGATGCAACTTCTACAGATGCATTATAGAGGTTTCTCACAAAAATTTGCAATTTAAAGTCATGACGATAAAGTGGCTCATGAGTAACTGTTGAATCACTTTTTATTTCAAACGGCATTCACACAATACATTTTATTAATGAGGCACATTCACATCAAATGCTAAATAACTTCATGCATGGCTGAATGTTAGTTACAACTTCATCAAACTGAATGCCAATGTTGACTGTAAATGAAAATATTGCTTCATTATTTGGCACAGTAGGAAACTTTTGCCCATTACATGACCACAGGTGTGTTCAAAGTGAGGTTATAAATCATAATTTGACCTAAAACATGTCTGAAAAAAGAAAGAAATCCAAAAGATTGTTAGCGGCTGCGTCACATGATAATTCACATTCAGAAGCACTGTTGCACAATGTTGTAGAGAATGTCTGAGACTGATCAAAAGCCATCTTGACATCCTGACCTTCACGAGGTTCTTGTCACACTGTCTTCATTTGAATGTTTCGGCATTATTTCCACTTAACACCCAGCCCCGCCCACCACCACCACCTGCTTTTGGCCAGGGATGTTTCTGGGCAGTTTTAACAACAACAGCTATAATGAATGTAACAAGTGGCCAGTGAAAACCACGCAGGATATCAAGATGTTTCCTCTAACGTAAAAGAAACTTTAAACCCATTTCAGGGGGTTAGTACACTCCACATCAAAGGTTAAATTCCCAGAGGTGTTTTAATAACAATAATTCATCAATCACCAATGACATGGGTGTTTAATATAGAGTTGTACAAATGGTGTTCAGCATTTTATTAGTAGTCATAATATGAAAAACATGTCTTTTACACCCAGAAGAGAAAAAGTTTAAATGAAAACAATGTTATACTGCAGTATTTACACATCCTAATATGCTTATACAATTAGTATTGCGTTAATCGTGGTAAAAGTAGAACAACATAGTATGATATTTATATGCTGATTACCTCTGATTTTACCACCCTGTAACCACTGCTACAAATTACAGTTATTTCACCTGGATAAGAGTACCTGGATTTAAGCATGATTAATACTGAACATACCAAAACCGCTAATGTTAATCAACCACACTATTAACAAATATAAGATAATCAAATCCAAGAGCGCTAACCCATCTCAATTCAATTAAGAAGGTACAATCAGTGACTGATGGGAAAAGACAAATGGGTGCTTTTCCTGAAAGAGAAAGAAGTTCACCTCTCATCCAGTAGCTCATTCTCCAAACATTTACAATCGGCTTCTACCAGCGCACGCACCATGCAGAGGGAGGGAGTGCATCTGCCAAGGCCGGGCTCCTTTTCAAATTTGAAAATAAAACATTTGATCACGACTTTTAAGGCAGCAATATATACATCCACATACTCGAGTCCTCTCACTGGAGGGGAGTCGGATTTCAGACCAATTCCCTTTCGCGGTGAGAGAATGAAGACAAAATAATGAAAGTGAGAGGTGACTAAACTCATTTATTATATACACAACCCAGGGTGATAATGTCTCTGTTACAGAGACATATAACTTATGCAATGTAAAAATGGCAACAAACAAAGGGAGAGTTCAAAGGAATTTGAAGAAGTGAGTGTTGTACTCGAATCGGGTCAGGTATGTTCTGAGGTGACTAGATCCTGCGCAGAGGGTGCCACATGGACACGGGCTTCCTCAGAGTTGCCAGCATCTGGTTCCAGTGAGTGATTCCCATCCCGCTGGCCTCAGGGCCGATGATCACATGACCAAGGTTCTCACCCCGGCCATCGTCTGTGGCCTCTGCCACCGTCACCCTCAGAGAGAGCTCCTGCAGAGCACAAACGTGGTTACATAACCTTCTCTCTAAGCAGGATTCAGCTGGGTTTTTTTCTTCATCTAAATCTTTATGGAATTAGTTAAATACATGTGTCACAACAACAATTTGACCATATCTCGATACGCTTTTGCACTTTTTCTAACAGATTATTTTTGTGGGGGTTGAATGATCCATGCATTTTAAAGGCATAGTTTCCACTACAGGATTTCAATTATATCACCACCATATATGTAGACCATTTAACAATGTACCTTTCAGTTTGTTGGTTATTCCAGCACTTGAGAACCAACGACTGAAAGATTTAAAGAACCACACCAGCATACAGTAATGTGCAAAAGTCTAAAGCCACCCTTCATGGTTTTATTGTTTGCTAGTAAAATTGAAAATGGATGCAAAGATTTATTAAAACTAGTCGTGTCAGCGTTAATCTTGTTAAAATGACGTTAACGGCATAACCGCAATAACGCTGCAAATCCCCGTTAGCGAGTTAGCGCCGATTGCCCCGTGCGTAGGGCTGCACGGCGTCAACGCGTTATGGCGTTATGACAGCACTAATTAAAACATATACAAACAGCAATATTTGGTATGACAACCTTTATTCTTCAAAACATTCTGAACACTCTTAGGCAAGCTTTCCTTTAATTTAAGGAGTCTTCAGGTGTTGGAGTCTGCTTAGGATCACTGCCAATCAGACGCTTCAATAAATGGTCAGCTGGGATAACTATATTTACTCAGGGTTTTTTGATGTGATGTTCTTCTGCTTCCCTGGCCCTAGTCAAACCTTAAATACTGATCTGTATGGGTAGGTTTATGGTACCCATCAACTTTTAAATGCCCACCATTAGCGATAGAAATCTCACAGTCTAAGAAGGCTAACCTGCCACTTTTCATTTGCTCCCTGGTGAATTTGATGTGTTGGTCCACCAAGGAAATGTGATCTGTGAATTGTGGTACATCCTGAGATTACATTTTCACCCAGGTGTCATCCACATACCTGAATAGGTGGAATTAAGACACAGTTCCAAAAGCAGATGTCAGATGTCTATTCATATTAATGTACAGAATTCACCTGCTTGCTGCTACTACTGCACATTCACCCAGTGTGTGTGTGTGTGTGTGTGCGTGCGTGCGTGCGTGCGTACGTACACACATACACACATACATACATACATACATTCGTCTGTAGTTGCCCTGCTGCTATGTCTGCAATTTTGTTGTTTCAATTTGCCGTTTCTGTGGCTGCGATCAGTTCCACTAGCTGGATTTGTCTCTGCGTCAACCCTTTTGAAGCTCAACCCTTTTGAAAGGATGTTTTTCTCTGCTTGGGTGAGTTGTCTGTCAGGTAGATTTTTAACCCACTTGTCCACATGCCCGGTGTGGCATCCTTTTCTCTTCTGGGCGCTGAGGACACTCTCCGTATTTTGCTGTGGCTTCCCATGCACAACAAGTAAGTCAAACTTCCTTTGTTGCCTGGTCTTAGACTTCTCATATTGTACGAATGAGCCTTCTCAGTGAATTTAAACACCTTTTTAAGAGTATTCTCATCTAGAATCATTGTAAGGTTGGGGAAACCTGCAGTCAGCTGAGACTGAAGAAGTCACTTGGATGACTGATGAAACGTTTCTCCCTCTGAAAACACTATTTCCTGATGAACAGAATTAGCTTTTGGGATTTACTAACGTGAATGATTGAGAATGCATCAAGACAAGTCAACATCGTAGCCACTGGCCTCAAGTTAGCATGCCAATATTTCCCTTGTGAGTGTGTTAGTCAGCTAATAAAAATGGCCTTTCTAGACTTGCTACCACCTTTGCATATACATATTAACTTTTGCTTTATTTTATTTGTATACTTATAATTTATTGCACATTTACTTGAAAGCCCTTATCACTTTTACAAGAGGGCACATACAGGATTATAAAACACAGATTGAGATAGATAATAGTGTAACGCCAAAAAGAAGCCTAAGTCCTGCAAAACTTGTGTTTTTTTTTAAATTTTCCCTCCTACTAATTAATAATGTTTCCTATTAACATTTTCTTATTCTGGAAAATAATAAATCATGGTCTGAAACATACCTGCAGAACGATCGACGGCACAGAGAAGATCATGGCTTCATTGAAAATGGGGTTTGTGTCATCCCTCTTGGTGGAAGTCTTCTTCTTACTGATTTTCCTGCCATCTTGCAGCAGATAGACTTTGACAAATGGATCTGATGAAGGAGAATGAGTGAAGGTAGAGTGAATAGTTTGTAGAACATCCACTAAATTCCTCATTGGAGACAAATCAGGTAGACTCACAGCTCTGTATACAGAATTAGTTCTGGAGGCGGTGTTTCAGTGTGGTTCGCTGTCTCAGGCAGTGTGACCATTATCAGTTGACACACTATTTAAAGAAATTCCATAAAGTTTCTGGGCTGCCTTTCCTCATAACAGCCATCCCTCAAGATTTTCTTCATTTAAAGCAATGCATTATCAGGGACTATAACATCTAGTCCTTTTACTGAATAAAAATAGACAGGCTGCTGTTATTAAATCAATAAGCATTTTGTTTGTTCGCAAAATGTTAGCGTGTTGAGAACGGCACAGATTTAATGGCATTAATACACATGCACTGCACAGCTGACACGAAAAAAAAACAAAAAGCTCATGCACACACTTCAGGTTAACTTCTAATGATGGAAAGGAAACAACCCTGCAGACAAAAAGCATCCCTGACCTGCGGTGTTCTTGCCATTGGTCCACACCAGGTTCTTGCACTTAGCCACAACCACAGTGAGACGCTCTGCTGTTGGCAAATAGCTGAGAGACAACAAGATCTCCCCGACTGCATCCACTGCCTGTGGGGTCAAACCAGAGCATGGCAGCCATTAAATACAACATCATACATTTCCAGTCAAGGTGATGCGCCGACAGAATGACTGTAACGTGTTGACTGGAGTATTGCGAATCAGAACTCCTACTACTGTGGATTTTATTTAATTTTAAGGAGCTACACACAGTCTTTAAATTCGTTTCTAGTTCAATTAAGAATATATGAAAATGAAAGTCTAAATTACTAAAATTATATATTCATTGCATAGTGTTAGTGCATAATGTATAGAGTTTTGAAACATTTAATTTTCAATTCATCATTTTGTCAAAATGAGTAAATCACGGTTAACAGTCATCCGTTTATTCCTTCTAAGCTGAACTATTGTAATTTCTGTGTAATCGGATTGTTGTAAAGGTTTCCTGAATACCTTTCGTTTGATCCAAAACACCCCGAGATAGTGCTGACTAGAAAGAGAGATCATATTTCTCTCATGCTGACTTCTCTCTGTTGGCTGAATTGAATTTAAAATCTTTCTCCTCAAATGTGGCAGCGATATTGTGTGCATATATCGCTGCCACATGTCGTTGACTTCTCCCTCCAATAGTTCGTTTTGTCCTTGTCTCTCTAAGCTCTCATTTTTATCTCCTGTCTTTCCCCTCACTGCCCTAATACTGGTAGTAGATTGGCTGCCCCTCCCTGAACCTGGTTCTTCCTTTAAAGGGGAGTTTGCCTTTCCCACAGTCGCCAAGTGCTTGCTCATAGCAGATCATCGCATAGTTGGGATTTTCTATCAAATATTGTAAGGTCTTTATCTTGCAATGTGAAGCTACTGGAGGTGACTGCTGTTAATAACTGCTGTTATGAATAGTTTTATAAATAAAACAGAAATGAAGTGTACTCAACTGAATATTAATTATTCATAATTAAATATCTTTAATATATGTGATTATTGCAGCGCCTCACTCCAGGCTCTGTGGATACTGTTCATCGTTTTTTCCACAGCATGAGGCTTCTCTGATCAGCTCACTGAGGACACAGTTTTGCTGAGAATAAAAGATATAATATATGTGCTTTACATCACATTTGTTTTTAAATGTTATTGAAAAATATTACACATGTTGATTTCTAAATAAAAAAAATAATGCTGTTAGATTTAGTTTTAGACAAGATTTGATCCAGTGATGAGGTAACAATGATTCTCCCATCCTGTTAAACTGTCGCCACTAAACCTATCATGGTAAATTGTATCTATTAGTTTTATGTTGATATTGTCACATAGTTTTCACAATAGAATAAAAAAAAAATCTGTACGCTTCTTCCATTTAGGAAGCACCCTCACTGACCTGACCTTGACTCTGTTTGGATCTGACATGTAGTTTTGTTAAATGTCCAGCAGATGGTGTCAGACACCGCTGTGCTTCCTGAAACGTTGCAAGGACAGAACTTAGATGTTCCAGTTCCAGCATTATTTTTCTGTCTCTCTCTCTGTATCAACACACCTTATTGACATCCTGAAGATAGAGCCAGGCGTTGAATGGTCTGATGGTCAGGTCCAAGTCTGACAGCTTGAGCTCTGCTACGCCTGCGCTGATATTTCTCTCGTCAGCATCGATACCAAAAGCGGCAAAGCGAAGGCTGTACTCCTCCAGGCTGGAAGAATCCATGGGGATGGAGAAGCGCTCATCGAAGATCACGGTGAATGCATTTGTCTGGACCTGTAGGAGGTGGTGGACAATTTGCAGGATTGTATATTCCAAACTCAAAACACACAATGATGCAACAACAATGGAAAATAAACCAAACAGAATGTGCAACTGCACCATACTTCTCAGAGGAATGTGTAATATGTTTGACTAGTCTTAAATACCACTTTTGTAATCTACTTGAGCACTCAATGTGCTTTCTACAACTTTATGCCTCATTCAAACAAGCAGCTTTTTCTACACTAAGTGCTTTCTATCTAATATTCACGCTTGGATAGACACATCAGGGAGCAACTTGAAGTTCAGCATCTTGCCCAAGGATCTGATGACATGCAAACTGGAGCAGGCAGGAATCAAACTCCCAACCTTGGAATTGGTAGATGACATGCTCTACCACCTGAGCTACAGCCACCTGTAGTGTTGCTATTAAAGAAGCTTACGTGATAAGAGCACAAGGTCTCTTTTTTGTTGATATACCAGAAAAAAATGCTACAAAACCACTATTCATTTCCTTTTCTTGTCATCCAGAACACATTTTAATGTGGAAAACAGCCTCTGACAAGCAAACCACACCATGACTACTTAAGATCAAAGACAGAGGCTGCCAGATCTACAGTTGTAATGGTAATTTCAAGTCATCAGGTCTTGAGGGGATGTGTGGAAACCGATGCGGTCAGAAGTTACCAGGCAACTAGTAACATAGCAGATTTAATAATAGCCACCCCCCCAACTCACACACACACCAGTGTTTGTTCTCGAAGTATGAGATCCAGCATGAATATTTTTGCTAAATGTGTCTGAAATAAAAACACTGCAGCTTTCTCACAAACACATCATAACCGAGATCGCGAGGTCACCTGGGGTTTCCAGTGATGAACAGCAAAACGACAACGCACTGTGGCGTTGAGGACATGTGAATTTAGAGCAGAGCAAATGGTCTACAAATCAGCTTGTGCGGCTTGACCTTGGATTGTGCTTCATATCAACCAACTGAATAGCATCATAACTGCTCAGCACCTGCGGGATCCAGAGAAAAAAAGTAGCAACATACAACATACAAAGCATCTTGAGCAGCCTTCCACCACCGTGTGAGACTACCTGCTTGCAGTATTAGCTTTATCACTTTTACAATGGAGATGTAAGCCCCCAATAAAAAGAGAGAAAGAAAGAGGTGTGTGTGCACGTTGTTACATGCAACACGACAGGCAAGCAGAACTGACAGCAAATAAATGAGAGGAAAAGAGGGAGAAAACGGGGTATTTGGGTGGGTGGGGGCTTGGGGGTTTTGACAGAACGCAAAACAAAAGCAGTAACAGCACAGAGAGGCGCTGGAGAAGGAAAAAAAAGAGCAAAAGGAAGCATAGATGCAAGGGGTGGGGGGAGGCCTGCGTGGCCATCGGAGCGAGTAAAGCTGATGTCAGCATTTCCTTTGGTCTTCCCTTGACATTAAAGAGGGAGACACTAAAGCTGCTGCATCGGCGGCTGCTCCTGTTATGATCACCGTCAGATCAAACCCCTCCGAACGGCACGGCAACTAAAACTGGGGCACCGACGAGTCCCCGCGGCATCCCGTGTAAGCCTGCACAAAACCACAGCCCCACAATGGAGCGATGACTCACAGCGTGGAAGAAATGTGTGAATATTCTGGCAGCGTTAGTGCCAAGAGCAGAAGGCGAGCGCCAGGTGTAGCAGATGGCGGGAGCGACGCCTTGTTTCTTCTCTTGTCAGAACAGTTGCTTCTTACTAAGAGCGTGATGAAATTGTTCTAGTGGTGAATTTAAAGGAAAGCTAAAAATGAAGTAGATTACCAGCAAGCAAATGCACTACAAAAGCTATAATGGAATGCAGTACAAGTAAATGTTTTGTTAATGCTCTTAATGAAGCAAGTGAGCAGCTGAAATGATTTAATTTGATTTACTCAGACTGTTTTGGATTAAGATGTAGTGACTGTGAAGGCTATTTAACTAGAGCAGGCTCACTGTCATGTTCTACAAACCAATTTGAGATGATTCTTTGTAACACGGCACATTATCTTTATGAAAGCAGCTATCATATGATGGGTGAACTGTGACTGTGGTGTTTAGATGATGCTCAGTTGGTACTAAGAAGCCCAAAGTATGCCAAAAAAAATATCCCCCATATCATCAAACCACCAACAACAGCCTGAAACACTGATACAAGACAGGACGGGTTCATGCTTTCCTCTTGTTTATGCTGACTTCTGACTTGCAGCAGCAATCGAGGCAACGTTTTGCTAACCCTCTGTTGTCTAATTTGGCTGTGAATGTGCAAACTGTAACCTCAGTTTTCTGTTCTTAGCTGGCAGGATTTGCACCTGGTCTGGTCTTCTGCTTCTGTAGCCAAAGGTTCAGCGTGTTGTCCATTCAGATGCTCTTCTGCATAACTTGGGTGTAGCGACTGGTTATTTGCATCACTGTTGGCTTTCTATCAGCTCAAAGCAGTCTGGCCATTCTCGTCTGACCTCTGACATCAACGAGGCATTTTCACCCAGACAACAGCTGCTCACAGGATATTTTCTCTTTTTCAGAACATCTGTAAAGCGTACAGATGGTTGTGCTGGGAAATGTCAGTAGATCAGCAGTTTCTAAAATACACAGACCAGCGCTTCTGGTTCACAAGCATGCCACATTTAGAGTCACTTGAATCACCTTTCTTCCCCATTCTGATGCTCAGTTTGAACTTCAGCGGGTCATCTTGTCTTGTCTAAATGCACTAATTGACTGATTAAACAATAGATGTTCAACTGTATCTAAACTGGCTGGTAAGTGTTACACTCCAATAGAAGTCATTATGTACTCCATTAAATGACAAAATGAAAAGTTAATTGAGAAAAAAGAAAACACTGCAGAATGTGCCATTGCATTGTCTTGCTCATCAAATTACAGTGTCTTTAAAGCACTCTTCTTCCGAGTGAGATAATTAATGTACTTTTATAATTGTTGGGGTTACTGCTCGTTGTAAGAAAGGCTTGCCCATTGGAGACATTAAAGGCATCCTTGATCCAGTAAAAGATGTGAAATAACCTTCCTGCAGCTCTCGGGGGATTGTCCACTCAAGCAAATGAAATGGGCTCTTCTGACGGACAGGAAAGAACTGGCTTGTCGAGCTGCAGGATCGAGCATCTCCTCCTGAGGGACGTATCACTGTCTCTGACTAAAATTCAGCCAGGTCTGAGATCTTAAACACATTTCAAGGGAGCCCAAACTGCCCTCACTGAGCAGGAAGGCTTTCGATGCCATGTTATTCCTCCACGAATTTATCAGAAGCAAATTTTATCTTAAGTTCAGTCATCTCAGCACTAAGTGCTAATTAGCCATCCGACTAGCTCTGCTTTCATGTTTCGTTTAGTTTCAGTCCTCCAGCATCACAAACCCGCTCTTTTAGCAGTCAAAAGCATGAATAAAAAAAGGCCCCCCATCACATTTTTACACTTTATTGCAAGCTAATGAGGAACACCGCAGCTGTCATGATACATGTGTTCGCTACATTACATTAACACAGCTATGTATGACGCTTGCTTTCACGCTTTGATTAACTTGTTAATAAATAATGTTTTTATCTCAAATTTAAGGTTTGGCTGTTATTGTCCTTTTTTATATCTGTGAAACATTATATTACTTGTAATGGTCATTTTTAGCCATGGCAGCTGGTTCTTCATCAACTTTGCCACCGTGTAAAATATCTCACCAGTGAGTCATGGTTTTACTTATATCATTCATCTGTGGGTCATCTGCCTCCTCTGCTGTAACTCTGTCGTCACACAAGGTCCTCACATCTGTCCTGCCTCCCCACCTGCTGCATCACTTGATGTTCCACATCCCTGTTCCCACTCTGCTCATTAGTTCTTCAGTACTCCTGCTCCACCCTGAACAACTTGGCAGATTTTTGCTTTGAGCTTTGGAGTCTTTTTGCCAGTTTGTATTCTGCCTGCTTTTGGCCTACTACTTTCTGTTTAATGCTAATTAGCAAATGCAAAAAAGTAAGTATTTAGAAAACATTAAAAAAAAAAAACAACAACAGGGAAAGCCATTCCCCTTAAAAAAACAGAGTCCCACTTTAATTATAATTATGAGGTACTAAAAAGCAAAAATAACCATTAGTACCTTCTACATGTGAAACTCCATTGAAAGCCATTATTATTTATTATATAAAACAAGTACTGTGAAGACCTTTACTGTCCTTTTTGACATTTTACATTCTAGATGAATTAAACACAGCATCTTGAGGTCTGTCATATTTTCCCTCAAACCTTTTGCAAAGCAAATTACCTTGAAATGAAACCTACATTTTGTATTCATTTATTTAAACATGAGAAATTCTAAAATGTATCTTTCTATCACACAGATTCCATGAGGTCTCCCATAGTATGAAAATACCAGAAGGCAGAGGTTTCCTTACCCTTGTCACTCCCACATTAATCTCCTCTGGCCCCAGTGAGACTCTGATGAAGCAGCCAGGGAAGTCGCCTTCCTCTTTCTCCAGCAGGTCTTTGCCCTGGTGCAGGGTGATGTGGAGCAATCCCATCCCCTGGCCCGGGTGCTTGGATGGTTCAAATTCCAGGGTCACCTCCAGCTGGCCAACAGTGAAGTCATTACCAAAGTTGTTGGCAATAGAGGAGATTGAGCTGAGTGAGTCGGTAGAGATGGATCGGTTGAGCTGAGCTATGCCTGATGGGTCCAACTCTCTACTCATTAGCTCCAAATGGCCCAGGTCCCTGAAGCCATCTGGGGTGTCGCCAAGGGCCAGACTAGGCTTACGGCTGGATGTGGTGGAGGTTCGCCTGTGGTTATTGGCTGCCACTCTCTTTGAGTAGAGGATTAAAAAAAAATGACAAAACAACATTTTAACACCTCAAGGATTTTTTTCCACTTGAGAAACAGGACATGGAAAATTCTGATGGCAACTTTTAGGTTGACAACATGAACTTGTCAGCAAAGAATGGATTCAGGGAGCGGCTATACTTGTAATAATTCACCTGTTATGGTCTTTTAGCTCTGTTACTGGTCTCTACCAACTCTTCAGAGGAATAGCTCGCTGTTTAGCAACTTTAATGCACTTTTGTTTGTATGCTAGTTGTTACATATGCATCATGAATAAATTAGTTTTTCCACAAAACTGCGTTAAAGAAAAAAACTAACGAGTATTGGACATAACCTTTGTTGACATCAGCTGCTACAGAAGAACAAAGTTTATTTGATAGTTAGCTAGTGAGATAGCTATATAGCTAGCTAGCTATCTAATAAACCTTGTTCTAGCAATTAGATACATAGTAGTGGTCCTGATTTTAAAAAAGTGATGAAAAACAAAGAAAATAAAAAATAAGGTAAAGTTAGATTAAAAAGTAGACTGAGACTGGACAAATTAATTCAAATTGCATTCATTTCCACAGATTTACACTATAATGCTAAGAAACAACTGCAAAAAGTTGTAACATAGAAATATGTGTGTGTTACTATTGATAAATCTAATATTATTAGTGTATGATTCTTAGTTTTGTCAAGTGAAATAATTTATTTTTAATAATCACTGCAGAATGTACCTGTAATAGAAACTGACATTCAGCTTTTTTTTTTATGCTCAGTTATATAACTAATCTCAAAAAATCAGATTCTTACTTGTAATTGACACCAAAGTTGCCTCTGCTTCGGCGTGAATCTGAAGGTATTTTTTCTAGTTTTTGATATTGTACGGGTACCTTTTGTCTCACTTCCGAGAAGGAGGTTCCATATTTTTCTTGCAGATATCGATAATCAAAATTGGGGAAAGGAGACGGCGTTGGAAAAGTTCCAGATTTCCACAGCTTCCAGATATTAAGCCCAGCCAGGCCCAGCAGTACGAAAAAGCCCACCAGGTAGAGCCCAACCTCCCAGCCCGGCGGGTTACGCACCACTAAAATAGATACAAAAAACAAATGCTTAAAGAATTCCTTATAAACTTCTGTTTCATCTGTAGTTACATAAAGTCATAGTTTGATCATGGCAAACAGACTGGGAGAACACCAGGTTGAGTAGGAATCTCGAACAGCTCCCAGTGACTGAGCACAGTCACCACTGTTACAGGTCTTGTCATTTAATGCCAAGTGGTGGCTTTGGGAGTCAGTCGGAGCACATAAAATTTTATGTAAATCAGATGGTTGGGAACCAAATCTGACAAAAATCTGACAAACAAGTTAAAATGCCAGTTTGAATTAAATGCTACAGCATCTATAAAGGCACTGGAAGCCTGCACAGAGCTGGACTCCTAAAAATTGAATTGAAACTTCTTGAGGACTTTGCCAGCTTTATCTCTACTTGTGATAAACCAGTTACAGAACAATGTAAACTGCTTTCTAACAGCACTGCCTCCATGTGAGATGAGGTCTGTGCAAATATAACAGTGCGGTTGTCAAACACTAATCCACACAAAGGTATTCAAACAAAGTAAGTATAGAAACAATTACTCACCACTCAGATGGTAGCCTGATATATCTCCACTCTGAGCCGAGGACATGGTGCTGCAGCCAGCCTGCAAGAACCCAACCAAACAATAAGTTCCTTTTTTTTCTTTTTCTTTTTTACATCTAATATGATTTTGCAAACTGTAACTTAAATGACCTTTAAACCGTGCTGGCAATAACAGTCAAGCAAATGTGTTTACATAAACCTGATTTGTGCCACAAGACAAACTGCATTATTTATCCTTAATAACTCTTGACATCTGCTGCCATTTCAAAATGCATAAACAGGATGCATGCTTGGTAACACTGGTGCATAACTAGGTTTGGTGTTCATGACCAATGATATATTGCAAAAATTCTACAGTGTTTTCTCATCTGGTCATCAGCAGGAAAACATCCCTTCACGAGTGCCTTCCGGATCCAGCACAATAACAAAAAAAAAAAAAAGATGAAAGGGGATTATTTTCTGAGGAGCTGAAGGGAAATGAAGTGACTTGGTTACAGTTTGGTTGGAGTATGGGACATCTCGTGCTATTAGTGGTTAGCTTTAAGCCGCTAGCCTCAAGGAGAGAAGCCTGTTATCAGGTTTAAATGCTCCCTGAAATTACAGCACTTGACACTCCTCTCACAACACAGGAAAACCTTTGTATAACAATGTTCATATATATATATATTATTTGCAGTACTCAGAAAAAAACATGCTTGAACTATGAGACATAAATCTGTGACTTTTGTTGTTGTGTGAAACGTGGGAATTTCAAAAAAATAAATAAATAAACACACGTTCTTTTCAAATGAATGGCAAAAACCTCAGGGCTCAGACTTCTGAATGTTAGTGCACTATAATTGTATGTGCACACAGGGAAGTTTCTTTAACTCTTCTTGTTCTGCTTTCTGCTGCACCATTTATCCATTATTTTCTGTCATGCCAACCCTCTGCATGTCCTCTTTCACTATGTCCATGAATCTTCTCTAAGATCTTCCAATTTTCCTCCTGCCCAGAGCTGCCAGACAGGAGGAAAAATCCTTTGTCCAGTTAACAATAAAAATATATTACATTTAAATGGTTTTGTTTTTCCCCTAAATAGCAGTAGGCGTTGTTGTCAAAGGACAAAACAACATTTTCTTGCACCCCTCTCTTCCTCTGCAGACTGAAAAAAAACCCCCCAACATTGTCACCGGTGCGTGACTCATTCCTCCCCCTCCTCCTTCCGAGTTTGTTGGAATCTCCCCCATATCTGAGCAGCACTGGGGAAATGGGAGCATTACACTAATGATATAGAAAAAAGGCCTGGAGGGGGTGGGGCTGCAGG